TGGTCATAATATTTTACTTTAACAGGTACTTTCATACTGTGCACATTTTTGAAAGAAATGACTTTCAGATATTAACCTGTTCAAGTTTCATTTCTTTCTCTTACTTTTCTTTACCATGCTGGCTACTTATGAAAGGTATTTGTATATAACCTTTAGGATAGCAGCAAGTCCTGAGGTATTTTATACCCCCAGGACTGGTCACTTCCTAGAGCATCAGACTTGGCCTTCTCTCTGTAGCAGACACTATAATAAGGAGGAGCAGCTGGATCTGGAGACTGCATCCAGTGCTTCCCCTCTACTGAACAAAACCCTCTTCTCCTATCATGCTAGGTGTGCCTTGTCCCACTCCTTCCATGCTCCTAGATTGTTTTTCCTGTCTCATGCCAGGAAACAGCAGAGAGCAGGGCTTTACTGCCTGTTGAGCAAGAACTCCATGTTGAAAAGGCTAGCTATAAAGTAGGCAATGTGGTTGGGGAACATGAGACTCTCTGCCTGCTTGGGTAGGGCCATATCATGTGTGCTTTAGGGGCATGGAGAGAGGTAGCATGGGTTTGTTTCAAGAGAGGGGAGGACACAGAGAGGGAAGTGAGGGTTTCAAGAAGAGGGGAGATGCATTACCTTAGAATTCAAAGTGTGGGAATACTTCCCCTTAAGCTTATGGCTTCCTTCCTTCCTCCTATTCAGTCCTGCAGTGATGTCCTAATATTGTATCTGTGACACCAGAGTCATTACCCCTAAAATGGACTGTGAAAGCATGAACAAAAGACAAATGAGCCTGCCTGATGTGGCAAAGTGAGAAGCTGAGCTAGGAGAAATCTTTAATTCAAACACACGATTGCAAGCTATGTGTGAATGACTACCACAGCCCTTACTGCTTAGCTGTGTGCAATCATTCCTGTAAGGATAATGGAGATTCTCTGTTAGTTCAGTTGATAGGGGTAGTCTGTGCTTTTGGGGAAGGAGGAATCTGAATTTGGTCCCCAAGATGTTTCAAGGGACCATGGTGTGCAGCACGTTGATAACAATTGACAGCTGTGAAGTCCTGTTTGGCCACTGATTTTTTGCCATAAAATAACAAACTTTGTAATACCAATTCAAGGCATGTAGAAAAGGGCTGTCCAAGTAAATTTCCTGATGTATGTTCTAATTTAATTGTAATTCAAAGCACTTCTTTACGTTACAGCTACTGCTAAAGGTCATTAATTAGTGGTGTCATCTCTCTTGACTTTATCATAACTCTTGGGATATCTATTAAATATAAAGGGAGAAAAGAAAGAAATGGTCTTATTTGTAAAACTGATACAGAAAAAATGCTTTGTGTTTTATATTTTATTAAGATTTAGTGATATGCTGCAAAAACTTATAGCAGTTGATGGATATTGTTTGGAAGCAAACTTTATAAATTAGAAAATAAGATGCTTAATCTGCTTAAGAAACCAGTTAAAAATATAGGTTTCACTAGGTTTGTGAAGTTTGCATGGGAGAAAATGTTGTTTGGTTAGAGGACTGGGCATCAGGATTTATGCAAATTGTATTGTTTTGTGACATCAGGTTAATTATCTGACATCTCTGTATCAGTTTACCTGCCAGAAGATGATGTACAATAGAAATTGTTCAAATGTTTTGGCCTCATGGATAGTCTGTCCATCCAGTTAAGAATCCATTCCAAGGGCTTTTCCCCTAGGTAAACGGTAGTATTGCTGGGCTGGAGCAAGAGAGAATGTAACTTCTAAGATGCACATAGCTCCATTACAGAGCTTTTAAACTCACCAAAAATTGTTAGAGACTACCTCAGTCTTCTAATCACTATCTTAATCCATGGGAAAATATTGCCAGAAAAGCATGTTTACCTTTTGGAACATGATTTCCAGAGAATTATGCATACTTAATGCATACTGAAATTAAGGACTGGCAGAGCACAATCTATCTTGAAAACTCTGGCTGATCACATTTTAAAATAAAGTATACAAAGTTGCTCAAATTTCACTTTCTCGCCTTTCCTGTTCTAATTTGTAGTGGTTTCCTACAGCCACCTATTGGCTGCTCTGCAGCCAAGAATAGCTGAAAGGCAGAGTGCTCCAGGCGTAACCCCCTCATATCTCCAGCAAGTTCTGATGCTGGAGGCTTCAGTTTTGAGTAGTATAGGGTTCCCTAGGCCATAGGGAATTTCCATGTGGAGTAACATGAAGAGATTGGAACTTGACCCAAAATTGAGGCAGTAGAGTGCATTGCATTGTGGTTACCCCATTATATGATGAGTTTCAAACTTGACTGGCCACAAACTTTGGCTGCTGAATTTATCACCTTAAAATGGCCATACAGCAGAGTTATCATCGATGGTTTATTTGTAACAGCAATGGCCACAATTATTAAATAGAAGTTAAATAAATATTAAAACATATATATTAAAACAGCATCTTCTCTCATAACCCTAGAGCTGCTGTAAGCAAGCCTAATGGTTTAGATAAATGACACTGGACACAATGACAGGGTTTTATGAGATTAACACCCCTAATTCCTGGTTAGCTAAAAATGATCATCTATAGCTATGGATATTTACAGACAGCTGCCACCTTAGGTCCAAGGCCTCAGGGGGAAGTAATGTAGCACGTCATTTAAAAAAAAAGAAAAAGAAATGGGATCTGTTGTTCTCTAACTCACATGCCTTTTGAACTCAGATTAACTCTACCAGTTACTATGGGTTTGTCTACACTTAAAGCTCTGCAGTGGTGCCGCTTCAGTGAAGAGGTTACCTATGACAACGGGAGGGCTTTTTCGGTCAATGTAGGTACTCCCTGAGAGGCAGTAGCTAGGTCAAAAGGAGAATTCTCCCATAAATCTAGCTCTGTCTACATCAGGGGTTAGGTCAATTTAACTGTGACAATCAGGGTGTACATTTTTCACACCCCTGAGCAGAATAGTTATTGCTAAACTAGGAAATTAGGTTGGTATGAGAGAACTTTGTTTGCTTTGAAGAGTATTAAAAGAGATTGAGAACAACAGTGGCTCAAGAAACATTATTTGATAAATGGGCATTGAGTTGAGAGTGACCAAATGGCAAATCTACATTTAAATGACAGAGTGGACACTCTCTGAAAGGTGACAGACTTATGAGTCTTTAAAGAGATGTTAAATGTGAATGACTATCTTTGCAGTTTAAATCAATATTACTAGTTAAGAAAACTCATATCCCAGAAACTTAATTCCCTTCTCCTACCACCCACTTTACCCCCCCCTTCCACAAGAGAGAGAGAGAGAGTCAAGAAATATATTCAGATTCAACAAATACAAAAGTAACTTGAATTCCAGTGCCTAAAACCTTTTCACAACTGTGGGCTGCCTCAGAGGTCTAACCCTGTGAGTGTAAAATCCACTTGTGAAAAGTAGTACTGTTGTTGGAAGGAACAATAGTGAGCTTGTGAATCAGCTTCAGTTCTTTTGATTTTTTAAAGATAAAGACTTTGATCCAATGCCTAAACAGTGATGCCTGGGTTAGTAGTCCAGCTATCCAACTGGCCTGGCTTGTGCTCCTGACAGAGAAATGGGAGGGAGGGGAGAGGGAGAGAAACATTTGAGTTCAGCCTCCCTTAACTGATCCATTCTGTACTTGCTGCAGAGTTGAAATTGGTATGGTGGATTTCAGGGGACATGGATATTTCAATCAGAGAGCTCAAAAAAGCATAATGAAGGCAAAGTGGCTAAATGATTATCTAAAAAACTGCTGCCATAGTTCAGCTGACAAGGTGAGCAGATTTAGTAGGATAAACACACGCATCCATGTGCGTAGTGCCAACTTGATGTGGGGGCAGGAGTGGTGTTTTTGACAAATTGGATAGAACGAAGATTATAGAGTCGTGTCAAATGTACTTCAAATCAATGACAGCCCATAATATCTATTAAAGACGCTAATACAAATTACGGTTAAAAAGTAAAGGAACAGAATTTCTGGATGACTTCAAAAGTGAAAGTAAGGCTTTTCTATAGACATATATTGCTGATATTGGGAAAAAAATCACTTGCTATTTTTCTATTTTTAACTCATGTTTCTGTTGGTCAGAGATCAGTAAAGGCAAGATGTATTTACAATAATAATAATTAATGTGGATTCTGTCATTTAAGGTGTAGATGAAGAATTTGAATAACATGACCACCAGTTTAGTTGCATGATTTGACATTTGAGCTTTGCTTTTTCAGAAGAAAATAATGTACATGAAGATAGTATGTTAGGGATTGATCCTGCAAGTTGATAAGCACCTTTGTACCAGGTGCCAAAAACCATCAGCTCTCACTGACTTTGCTCATATAGCACCTTGGAAGAGATTTATAGAAACTTACAGAATCAGACCTTACTGCCTATCTTGAAAATGCCTAAATGTAAGTCTAACTGCTCTAAGGTAGTACTAGGGGAGACTAAAAATGAAAGAACACTTTTGTGGGAAATCTTGACACTTGTAAACTATTTCCATTTCACAGATTTCAAGAACTGACCCATTTTCTGACTTTGCTTAAAAGTGTCATTGATCTTTTTATTAATGTTCTAATTGAAATTTTTGTCAAAATTGTGTTGGAAATCATTATTGAACATCTTTGCTTACTGAAAATTGTGGTTTCAGTAAACAAATACGTTCTCATACACAATTTTCATTAAAATAATTATTAAACATCTATAAAATTGTCATGGATTTTTTCTGAAAAACAGAAAATTTCTATGATGTCGATAAATGTTTGTGAAAAGTTTGACAAAGATAAATATTTTTGGTCAGAAAAAATTATGACAAGTTCTAAATAGTACCTTGAGTATGAAAAATGCTATTTGTCAATGATGTATTTATTTTACAGTTAGAAAACAACGTACCCATCATAACATCTGGATGTACATTATTTAATTAAAAATGCACACAAATTAAGGGATATCTTAGCTGGCATAGTTAAAAATCAAACACTATTGTATAATATGTAATATTCAGAATAATGATATATGTATGCTTTTTTCCCCCCAGCACCACTAACAGATAAACCACCAAAGCTTTTGCACCCTTTGGAAAGTAAGCTGATGATTCAGGAGACCCAGCTAGGTAAGTAGCAATAATGTCATGCTGTTCAGTAAATTGTGCTGATGTCATCCTTTGTGTTAATGGTTGATAATGATATTACAGTTTACCCTGAAAGACATGAAAGAACATTAGTGTTTTGCCACCACTATGCCTGGTTTCAATAAAAAATGTGTTGCACAATTGCCATAAGAATATTATTATTATTATACATTGGTTAATGAACACTTACAAAATGTGTATTACAAGATTCTCAATGTATGGACAATGTTAGTTGAGTTTGGTGTATCATCCTAATATTGATCTCTGAGTCACATCATATTAAATCATATATATGTACTTTATCTAATATACATATTTATGATTCAGTGAGTAATTAAGATTCAGTGTAAGATTATAAGTGCAGAGTTTATTGCACTTTAATCCAAATTCCTCTGCAAGACTTCTTTTGCTTTGGGGTTTAACTATAAATCCACAATGACATTTTGTAATTATAAATACTTGTGATGCCCACAAATCAGCCAACAGAGAGTGAGAAGTTAATATAAAAGTGAGAAGTTAATATAAAAGTGTCCGGTTATTGTAATATACCACTATTTAAGAGGGTTTGGAAAAAACGATCTTACCCGGGACAATGTAGAGGAATTCATCAGTGGAGTGAGCATCTTTCTCCTTTTCTCAGTGTGACCAGTGTGGGTGTTGGGATGTAACATGCAGTTTCTGTGCGATGTCTAAAGGCAAACAAATTGTCGAATGGGTTGACGGATGTTCTAGCATTTCATCTATGGAAACAAATAGAATTGAGTTTGGTGGTTTAGCTTGGATAAGTAGCAGACATTTGTTGACAAAAAAAAAAGCAGCACTGAATAATGTTAAGGAGATACTGTTGAGGAGAGATATCTAAAATAGGAGAAGTAGATGTCTTGCAAATTAGGACTGAAGTTCATTGGCAAAGAGTTGTGTACTGTGCTTGTCCATGCTATGCCTGACACTAGCAGTATTTAGTGCCCCTTCATTTTAATCAATGTAAAAATGCTGAGATTGGGAATAGTTGGTTAAGGGACTTTAAGATGTTGAAATACATGCACACGCACCCCTGCAGTTGTAATGCAATTCCTTGAAGTATTGATTTCTGGAGGCATTGCTTTCATGCATAATGTCACATAACTACCCATGAGTATATGATATTGTGGATAGTTCTTCTCTCAGTCCCATGAAAAGCCAGGGGAGTATAGTCCAAAATAACTCTGCAAAACTGCTTTCCTGACTAATGCTGCTTTCAGAAATATCATCAGGGGGAAAAATGTATTTTTTTTTTTTGCTTTTTGTCACTCTCTTTGCTAAATGTATTGATGAGATTAATTCAAAAAGAGTGTAATTATTAATGGCTAGCTATTGGCTTTTTGTCTCTGATTTTTAGGATTAATCATATCTTTGATTTCTCAAAGTTCTAAGACATAGAATGAATAATTTGTTAAGTGCCTGGTTATAGGAAAAGCATTTTTCAAAAGACTAAATAGTTGCGGATGAAAGTGAAAGGATTAACTTGAAAATGTCAATTTCACATACAAATTGGAAGGACTGACCATAAATTAATCTGCAGTGATAATGGCTTGGTTTGTCTAACCAGCCTACAGGAACTATATTAATTAATTACTTAAGTATCTATACAAAAAGCATGTGAATGCCGTAAGGGTGCAATGGTGAGACTGAAACTGTGTTGAATAACTATCTTTAAACTGAAGGTCCTTATCCTGCTAAAGTTTAGCATTGTTTGACTTAAATCACATGACTAGTCTCATTGACTTCAGGGAGACGATTCACATGTTTAAAATTAAGTAAATACATTACGCATTGGCAGGATTCCGGCCTTAAAAATTCTGCCACTTATCCGTTTGACTCCGGTATCACAGAGAGATTGAAACAGCTGACATTCAAGTCTGAATGTCAGAGTCTCTTCCCATGCTGAGAAACCCAGTTGGAATTAATATTGTAGAGCTACAGGCTGTCTTAGGAGAAGCCTAGATAGTGGTTGGTTTTCTTTCACTTAAAGAAAAAATGGGTGAGATGTTTTTAGAGGCAACTGTAAAGGTTGGGGAGCAAAAACATTATTTTTTAGGCTGGCCATGTGAAAATATTCCTTCTTCCAATTTATATGAGTCAGACATTTGTAATTCCTGCTATGCTGGATCTATCAGCATGACTGATCTTCTACTTGCACCTTGTTGAGAATGCAGGTGCACAATTCCTCATGGATTTGAGCTACCGTGATTATATTCAGCTTGATTTTGCGTTCTTTACATTGGTTGCATATAAATGGTGAATTCAGTTTAAATTAGCCTTTAATTTGGTTTTTAAAAGTTCTGAATGGGACTGGCCCTGGCTGTATTCAAGACCTCCTCTTTGAGCCCTCACCTGTTGGGTTTTTGTACTCACATACCACCTCGAGCTTAAGGGATTCTGCCATTGCCCCTGAAATGGCACTTTGGTTGTGGTAGCCCCTATGGTGTGGAACTCCATTCCTCCTGAAATCTGTTTCATTTCTTCTCTCTTCACTTTTTAAATTACTATCATGGTTGCTGTTCTATAGTTTTGTTTTTTGTTTACCCACATTATTTGTAATTTTATGGAATTTGGCATGTTCTTTTTGTTAGTTAATGGGAAATAGGTTTTATGATTATTGTTTGGCACCCTGAGCACTTCTGAGTGGGAGAGGTGCTTTTTAAATAGATTATTTTGTATCATTATTATTGTGTTTTAGAATAACAGGAAAGTGCACATTAATTCATCTATTAAAATCATACTAAGCTTTTGAGACTGCATTATTTAATTAAAATTCTTAGACAACAACCTCACCCCCAAATAAAATCCCACACACCTCTAAGAAATCAGAACTGATTTCCCAAACACTCCCGTCAGCTCAGAACTTCCTGAATTCACTGAAATTATCTGTTATACAAACAAAAACCTAGGATTTCAGATTACAGTGGATATTTTTAACATTCCAGATGACCTTAAATTTGTCATATACTGATTTCTATCCCAAATAATTCAGGCATGCTAAATTGAAAGTCTACTATAAGACTCAGATCCCAAGTTTAACCTGTTCCTCTGTCAATAATAGCTTGCAATATTAGTTGGCATTTTAAAATAATTGTCTTGTCTTTTTCTCTCTTATTCTTTAAATAAACAGGTGTCCCTGTAATGCCTGGTTTTATTCTGAATATAGTGCTCTCCTCTGGAACATTACAGAACAAATGTGTTCACAGTAGACAATTTGTTGAGGATTGGCAAAGCAGCTCATAAAAATAGATTGAAACATCGGCCACAATTTTGAATAAAAAATTAACTGAAACAGAAAAAGGACAGAAAAAGTTATTTTTTTCCTTGTTTTGTTGTTATTTCTTTCTCTCCCACATTATCCATTTGGTGGTCTTACCCAGAACTGTAAATTCAATTGCCAAAATTCTGCAGAAAAAAATGCTATACTTGTAGTATTTATAGACAAATTGAAAGCAGGAAATAGTCAAAAAAATATTGATGAAAGAACCTGTTCTTGCATGATTTCCAGCACTCTCTGAACGACCAAAATGTTTCAGATAACTGTTTGAGTAAGAAGCCACATTTTTCTTCCTTATCTGAACTAATCTTTTGATTAGTCCATCAGTAAAAATTACTTCTATAGCCCAACAGTTTGTTCTCCCTGTTGGTCTGCAAAGTATTTTTTTTCTATAAAACTGAATTAATTACTGTATGATGAATTGGGGCTCTTTTTCTTTTCTTTTAAAACACAGAAAAGATTCTAACACTGTTTCTAACATATTGTTTCTAAAAGAGAGAGATAAAGAATTCCCAAAGGTCAAGCTTCAGTGGAAGGAGATTAATGGTCCATCTATATCACAATGTATTTTATTAAATTTTCCACAGAAATTGATCTTGTTAATGAGAAAAGTACTTCTTAACTAGTCTAATCAGAAATTCTATAAATAAATACATAAATAAAAAGAATTAACTAGCATTCTGTATGCCTCTGTTCTAGTACTCAATTAAAATGAATGAAAACAATGTTCATGCAAGGCACCTGAATGACATAATGCTGTTAAAGGGGAAAAAAGTCATCATCATTTTAATATATATTTAAAAGTTACCTTTTATTATATAACACCTAGCATTATTAAAACTGAAGCAATTTTTAAAGGTGCTTATTTTCATAGTGGTTCAATGCTAGCAGCACTCTCTGCTGTTAGCATGAACTCCCCTTAGGGTTGCCAACTTTCTACTCACACAAAACCAAACACCCTTGCCCCGCCCCTGCTCCGCCCCTCCCCTGAGGCCCCGCCCCTTCTCTGAGGCCTTTCCCCCACTCACTCCATCCCCCCTCCCTCTGTCACTCACTCTCCTCACCCTCACTCACTTGCTCATTTTCACCAGGCTGGCTCAGGGGGTTGGGGTATGGGAGAGGGTGAGGGCTCCAGCTGGGGGTGTGGGCTCTGAGGTGGGGCCAGAAATGAGGAGTTCAGGGTGCAGGAGGGGGCTCCAGGCTAAGTCAGTGGGTTGGGATGTGAGAGGCTCTGCCTGGGTGTGAGGGCTCTGGGGTTGGGGTAGGGCCAGGGCTTTGAGGTGCAGGAGCGGGATCTGGGATTGGGGGTGGAGCCGAGGGGTTCAGAGTATGGGAGGGGACTCAGAGTTGGAGTGTGGGAGCGGGGATGGGCTCTGGGCTGGGACAGCACATTCTGGGGTGGGGCCAGAAATGATGGGTTCAGGGCTCAGGAGGGGCTCTGGTGTGGGGATGGGGATGAGGGATTTGGAAATACAGGAGGAGGCTCTGGGTTGGGGCTGATGGATTCAGAGTGCGGGAGGGGGATCGGGCTGGGGCAGGAGGCTGGGGTGCTACCCCATCTGCAGGTGCTGCCCTTCAGCTCCCATTGGCTGTGGTTCCCGACCAATGGGAGTTGCAGAGTCAGCGCTTTGGGTGGGGCCAGCATGCGGAGCCCCCTGGATGATGCTATGAGTAGGAGCTGGAG